ATACAAATTCGATAAAAATACTAGTGCAGAAAAAACAAACAAATCTGAGCTTAAGCCACTAGTGAAGAGGCAGACTACCCTGAGGAAGGGGTGGGGGTGCAACCATATACCCACCTAGGTGCAGCACAGCAAATCTCACGGCAATCCTCAACAACTTTGGTGCAGTCTCTGTGCCCCAGTGTAGTTTCACTGCCTTCTGAAAACTCGTCTGCCCTCCTCCGCCACAATGAGCAGGTAAGCAGTGTTGTGATGCATCAGGTTGAGAATGGAGCAAGAAACTAGGGCCTTTTTAAATAGGTGAATTAGTTATTTTTTCCTGGCTTCTTTTGTTATATAACTGAATAAAAGCATGAGAATTACATTAGATAAAATAATATTTAGGGGTTAGTTAAACGCATGTTTCCTTCTTTTTCTTCTTGTGTCAGGGCCCCTTTGGAAGGCTGGCGCCAGAATTGACCTATATGCCTCTTCCACAGGCCGGCCCTGGACTCCACCCACAAGGCAAGCACAAGTCCATGGCTCTATGGCAAATGAGTTTGTTTTCGTGCACCCTATATCGTGTTTCGCCAGCAGATGCCGGTATAGGACTCATCTAACGTGAGACTTTTTTATGCATGATTTGAAGGAATGTTTTGTATTATTAAATATATATTATCACATTTATTGGAAAACAAATTAAATACCAGTCTTCCTCAGCTTTGGTTCACTAACATACAGCAAACTAACTACAACTACTTCTTGCACTTTAAATTGTATTTGCCCACACTCACACCACATATTCTAGGATTGATTGCCAGCAGGAGTGAATTTTATAGAGCCGAGATAGAAAGCCAAATTCTAAACAGATTTATGTGGGACCATGCACCAGTATATGATTTAGGATGTGGGACGAGGGGTTGTCTCTAGTAAATGGAGGCTGAATACCTCCCTATTGGGTATACTGTTGTTTTAGGCTACTTTAAGAGATTGATTTGTCTTTTCCAATTACACTTTAAGGGTTAGATTTTTACAAGTCTCCAGATCAAAAGTTTACTGCTTACACACCTGAACTGGACCAGCCTGCAGAAAGGTGGCTCCTGCACTGAACAATACCTGATACAAATTCACGAAACAACACATATAAAGAGACCAGATTCATGGCTATGTAGAGCATTATTAACTATTAAACTGGAAAACAACTTTAATAAAAACAATGTAAATGGAAGTTGAAGAAATCAGTGAAGGTGTCCAGGTGACTATTTGCTCAGAAATTCCAGAAGTCACCAATGCAAACATGAAAATAAGACTGCAAATGCACAATTCAAGAATGTTAGAGTGGCAACAAGTGATTGAGGATGTAGGCTACAGATCTAGGCAGGAAGGCAAACTGTGGTGACATACTAACTTATTATATGGATATTGTACTGGGGATAGATGCAAAAAACTATGGTGGTTGAGAAAACATTATCAAAAACATGATCTAAGAAATGGAATATGTTGAACGCAACATTGCAAAAAAACAAACATTGTATTTGATGTTATGATGGCACACTAACCTACAACATGGTGAAACAAACCACTTGAAACCAGAATCTGCAGGAAGGAAGGAAGGAAGGAAGGGGTCAAACGGAGAGGAAACAAAACCTAAAATCATGAAGCGCAACTGCAACTTCTTAACACATTTGGATATTTGGTCTCTTAATTGACATTAAAGGTAAATGAATCTCCTCAAACAGTTCCTCTGTTTATTTGCGGTGATCATCTCCCCACCATCTTCCCAGGAATGAAAGATAAATGCACCCTTTAACATTTTATTGAAACTGAGTTAGGTTAAGACTGGCTGCGTAAAATGATTGGTTGCTATTTAACAAAGCAAAACGGTTACTAAGAAAACCAATACAGGAATACAGGAATCAAAAACAACATGTGGCAACATATCATTTCCTCAAGCCATGGTTTCACTGTCATAAGCACGGGCTAAATTAGGAAGCACTCTTACAAGCTAACATACTTTTTCTCACTCTAAAGATAACTTTTAAAAAGATGACTAGATTAAATGGTAGCACGAAAAACGATACTTTAACAGATGGTGATAAAGAAATACTCATTCTTGCATCAAAACAGCCAAAACCACATTGAGGCTTTCAATAATAAACCAACTCACTCAATATCTTCACAATCTGTTGTGTTATTTGTTCCCAGAGTGCGTCTTGAAAAGATTGAAAGTACGGTCTCTTTAAATCATTTTAAAATGTGGACTGAAAGTGTTGGAGGAAGATGCTTCAGGTTGTAGATGTTTTAAATAATGACTTTTCTGCTCTGAGACTCAGGACATGATGATCTGTGTTTGATGATGAATGATTCTTTGTGTTTTATGTCTGCACCTTGTTTATTGTGCTGCTAACCCTCTTGGCCATGACACTTTTCTAAATTAGATTCTTACTCGCAATGAGGTTCTCCTGGTTAAATGACTTTAAAACCTAAAATAAATCAAATGTTACATGAGATATTTTGCATTTGTTATGCAGTCAGTTTCCATTTTGAGTGAAATGGATGATGAAAATTACAAAAACACTAAGTTTCCAGATCTTTTTTTTTTTTTTTTTTTCTAAAAGTGGGTTGAAATAGTCAGACTTGTATAGCTGTGGTGTTCACTCCAATCAGCCCCTCTCACCGCAAACACGCTGCTATACAAACAAGAGACAAAGCTGTGAAAAAAACAGGAAAATGTAAAGCTTTGCACAGGAGAAGAAACAGACAACCGCAAACAAACGCTGCATATCACACAGGTGTCCTTTTGCATGACAGGATGCGTCAACACAAGCATTACCGAGAAAAAAAAAAAGGTGTGATAAAGATCATGATGTTGAGAGATTGTCTGCAGATATCAAAATGTTTGGGGGACATGATTCATAGAGATTTTACTCTATTATCTAAGTATCAAGGTATTATTAGATATTAGATCATAAGGATCAAAGTTTTTAAAGGTGTATAGAGGAATTATTGTACTTTAAATTTAACATTAACATCCATGTTTGCTTTGTCTTCTATGCAATTGTTGAAGTATTCCTCCAAAACCTCAGCATATTACAGACATCAGGCTGACTTGTGCAATCACTCGGTACATGTAAGATAAACACTCTGCATGAAGACTACCAGAGGTCTTAAACTCCAAGTGATAGCTTTAAAATGAAAATTAGCCAGACTAGTCTGTTTAAAGCTCCTGTGAGGAGTTTTTTAAATGGAAATGAAACAGACTGAAATTAATACTGATACTTCTTCTATATGACCTACGACAGCAACCCAGACATTCAGGAAGAAGATTTATTTCTCATATCTACTTTTTATACGTCTGTCAAACCATGTTGTGGGTAAAGGTGCCAGACAAGGCTGTTAACAGAATAATGCAGATAATGCTATTTTTTATTTCATCACACCTGTGGCTTCCTTCCCGCATGTCATTCCCCACTCTCTCTCCCTGATTTCTGACTCTATCCACTGTCCTATCTCTCCATTAAAGGCACAAAAAGCCCAAAAATAAATCTTAAAAAAAAGAAAAAGAAAATGGTATTGTGTGAATACACACAAGAATAATGAAAGAATCTGCACATCAGAGAAACATTCAACTTTAAAGAGTTCATTCACACAGTAATCTGGGCGAATGGTGTGATTATGGTTAGTCTCTACTGTGGTTCTTAAAGGAAGTTGAAGAGTGATTCTTGAAACAAAGGTGATCTGAAAGTGTTGTGCACCTGAAAGTAAAACTTTTACCAAGACCAGAATAGCTGTAAAAGCAGATGTTCTTCAGAGGTTGCATGTGTCGCTACATTGACAATGAACACAGTTTGTCACAACTTTTTTCAACAAAGTCAGCACTAGACATTTAGTTTAAACACCAACGCTTCAGATTCAAACAGTGGAAATATTATTCACCTAATTTGGAAAGAGTAACAACCAACCCACACACAGGGGGATCTTTTTCTTTCAGCATATTCATATCAATACATTGTGTAAAGTCCCTCGATTAACATATGGCAAACACTGTATCCAAACAGTATTCCTATAAATGTGTGCATTTTCAGCAGGTTGTCTCATATCTCTTCATATTGGAACATAAACCTGGTTCAACAATTTAAATCACCATCCAAATCGTCCATGTTACCCTCTGAAAGAGGGATAAAAGAATAAAAAGTTAGTGCAGGGGACTTTGGAGTCCAATCATCGGCAAGCCATGCTGGAATTTCTGTCTTACAATAACTTTCAGCCAACCTAATCACAAGAGGCAGGTTTTCACACCTCTTGATAACCTGGAACATTGTGTCCACCTGTCAATCAGGTCAGCTATGTGCCTTATTGTAAAGAACTACATAAGATCAAAACAGACAAGTTCTCAAAAAATGTGTAACCCATAAAGTGTGTGCCGGTTTAGACATAAGCTAATCAGACCAATTTCGTTCTTTGAACTAGGCTGTAAACATCTTAATTTCTGCTGTAAAACATTGACATTTTTAAATGGGTGTGTATGTGACTTCCGGTAAGCAGCCAGCCTCAAGGGGACACTCAAGGAACTTCAAGGGTTTTTACTGTAACACCACTCGGTTGTGCACCAAAATCTGTGACCAGCTCACACAACATAGTGTTTAGCCTAGTGCCATCATCTTTGTAACCTATGTTGTTTGTTAGCTTGTTAGCGTCTAATTGTTAGTAAATATCGCCCCGGAACATGGTAGGCATATATGCTATGCTGGTAGTAGGCTACATAAAAAAGAGTCCGATCAGGTCCAAACAGTTCTTTGGTTACTTTGTGGGTGCTGTTGCAAAAATAGTGCATTGATACAAGTCAGTGTAGTGAAGATTTGCTATTAAAAGGGACCTCATCAAAATACAATAAAAAACAATTTTAGTTGGATTTTTAGGGGCCTTTAAAAAATGAAATAATATTGATGTAGAAATATAAATGTTTAATTCACATTACATCCTATAGCAGAGACAGCTGTATGAGATGCTCCGCCTGTTTCCTCTTTGGTCTTTTTTCAAAGAATCAGAGGGTGAGCTCATTTCTCCTGTACAGGCTCAAAAACACCCTCACTGAGGACCATACCAGAGGATTGCTATTTGGTAAGTTATTAAATGCCTGTTTTTTAGATGATGTACATTGTTGCTCACAAGCTGAAGAATATTGCTTGCAGTCATAAGTAACTGCACATGTATTCCATAAAAGAAGCGCAGGGAACCAGCATAGTGGCAAGCTTTACTCTGTAGTCTGTCACCATGCAAACATGTTTAAAGCAAAATACACGTGTAAAATTTGTAAAATTAAAATGCATGTAAAATAAGGACCTATTTTTCCTCTTGTTAGCTAGTCAATGCTGCGTCGGAAAAAGTCAAATTATCTAAGCAATTTATGAAACATATTGAATATGCGGAAAAGCTCAAGCTAAACTTCTAATCCTGCAGTTGAATGCCAATGAACCTCAGTTATGTATGAAGGATGAGGAAAAACAATGTTTATTTGTGTATGTATGTCAAAGAGCTCATCTCAATCAGGTGAGAATATCTTATGTTGCCGATGGTTGCTGCCGTTTCACAGCTTTCTGAGAAAGATGCTTTCATTGAAATTTCAGCTTCCTGTCTCATGTCAGTATGCCAAGCCAATAACTTTTATCAGAAAACGGCTCACACAAGAGAACCACAAGATTCTGATGAAGCAGTCATGTTCAATTTCTTTATTAGCTGTCAGAAATCTATCCAGGGCAGCGAAATACAGACATTTCTGCCAACATTTACGTAACTAAATGGGGAAGTTTGTCAATCTATTTTTTTACTACTGGCAAAGATGTTCATTCTTTGCTTTGACAATGTATGTCCATTTACCATTTACAACCCATCTAACAACAACAGCACAAGAATAGCTGCTTGCTTTCAACATTCACGCTATAGTTAACATCCTAACACACCTGTAAAAGAAAAACAGGGCACAATCAATGCACACGCAGTGGCTGTGGCAGTGGCTGGCTCCCTCGCAACCCCCTGCAGAAAGTCAGAAAATATTCTCTGACATATGAAAGTGCTGACTGGCTGTTTATCTCTGAATGTCGGCCCTGTGATTGACTGGCAATTACTCAAATGAATGGCAAAACCCAGGTACATGTTAAAACCAATCAATTCTAACAGAATAAATCACTTTAAACTCACTACTTTAATTAAGTAGTTGCATTTGTGGCAGCCAATGGCAGCAGGAATTGCATCATAGTAGATTGTACTCTCCACATATAGCCAGTGCCCACTGAAACACACACTGAGGCTATAAAGAGAAACCAGAAAATGTTCAATTAGTCATTTAAGGGTGAAGGTTAAATAACATGCCAGCACATCACCGAAACAAAAAAAAACATATACGTGCCTAAATGAGTATTGTCTCAGAGACATAAATTCATCTTCAGGCAGCACATTTATTATACAGATTTTATCTTTGGTCTTTCCTTTTTCTTTTCTCTCACACCTTCAGATCACTGTCAGCAATCATGGTGTTAAACTGTCAGTGGTAAGACTGTGATGTGGTCTGTTGCTCGACAGTTGACATGTGACATTCATTAAAAAAACCATAATCAAACATCGCAGCAACGACATGTGTGAGATTAAAAATAATTAGGCTTAAACAGACTCCTAAACAAGCGATCATTTCTGAATTAAATAACAAGTGAAGGTAAAATTAGATTAGTTAATCTCAGTGCCTCAAGACTAAAGGTCAAATACCACTTTAGACATTTGGATTAGTTTCTGTTCCCCATTTGTTACCACCACAACACAACTAAACATACACACAAAGAAATAGAAAATGATCACAATTTTCTCTAGCTGTTAATTCATATAAAGTCACAGGCTACATTTCTGTAGGCAAGATAGAGCAAAAGAAACATACAAACTGTTTAATTTTATACAAAGTTAAAATAAGGTATGGGGGTATTTAGCGTACAGAATAAGATGACTTTCAACATGCCACACCCATTTCTCAAGAGTGTAAACCAGAATTTCCCTCAGGGATTAATAAAGTATAAATATATAAAAGAAAAAAAGAAAAGAAAAAAAGATGGACAGATAGCACCTCCTTGTGGTTGAAAATAGGCTACACAGGTCAAATGCTGAACCTGATTAACACACAAACTTTCTTCTTTTACTGCAGAGTGCACAAATGGCCGGCGGTGGCAGGATAATCGAGACTGGAAACGGCCTCTTGTCTGGTTTGAGTGATTTATATGACAACAACTCTTATGGTGATGAGGATGGATGTTGTGATGGGGGGGACGTGTGTGACCTGAACGAGGGCAGGCAATTTGAGGCGGTGTTCATCCCTGTTCTGTACTCAGTGGCCTTCGTTGTGGGTGTCCTTGGAAACGGGGTGCTGCTGGGAGTTCTGGCTCGGAGCCGAAAGGTATGGAGTGTGACAGACAACTTCATCCTCCACCTGGGTGTGGCAGATGTCCTGCTGCTGCTGACGCTTCCCTTTTGGGCTGCACAGGCGTATCAAGAGCAGGGATGGACCTTTGGTACCCCCCTATGCAAGATCACCGGAGCTGTCTTTACGGTGAGAGATTTGCAGCTGGGAAGTTCTACAAATGCTGAACTGGAGACCTAGAATTGTACTGGCAGGGGCGTGGCCAGAGTTGTGGTGTGGGCCTCCCTTGAATTCTGACTGCCACCCCTGGTGCCACCCCAAAATCCTAACATTGATTGGCTATATGCCTTCTTAGAGGCGTGCGTGTGTGCGTGCGTACACATATTCCTCATGCCACCCCTGCAAGACTCAGTGCCTTAGGTGGGCCACCACATGTAAAAAACTCTACACGCCCCTGTGTATTGGCCCAAACAGAATTTCCCTCTGATACAAGTGTGATAAAAATGTTCATATTTTTGGTGGGGAAACAGTCATTGCTAACAAATTGCCAACATTGTCCTCAACAAAGTGCATATTCTTGAACTTTCAGTGATTTTTTAATGAATCTCTTTGTCCCCATAGATCAATTTCTACTGTGGGATCTTTCTCCTGGCCTGCATCAGTCTGGACCGGTACCTCTCCATCGTCCACGCTACCCAGATGTACTCCCGGAGGAATCCTTGGGTCGTTCACATCAGCTGTTTGGCAGTGTGGCTCTTCTCCCTGCTCCTCTCTATCCCCGACTGGATCTTTTTGGAGGCTGCGGTCAATGACAGACGAGAAAAAACAGAGTGTGTTCGCGAGTACTTCAAACTTGGGGTGAAAGTAGGTGACTGGCGGCTGGCATCGCGGCTGCTCTACCACACGGTTGGCTTCCTGCTTCCTTCAGCTATTCTGATCTTCTGCTACACCTGCATCCTGCGGCAGCTTAAGTGCGGCGCCAAAGGCTCCCTCCAAAAGCAGAAAGCTTTCAGAGTCATCGTGTCTGTAGTGGTGGTTTTCTTTATCTGCTGGACGCCATACAACATCACACTGTTCGTGGACACACTTCATTCTGACCCCACCTGTGGAGTCAGTATGTCCCTGCAGAAAGCTAAGACAGTCACCTCCACTTTGGGTTACCTCCACTGCAGCCTCAATCCCATCCTGTATGCCTTTGTGGGTGTGAAGTTCCGGCGTCAGCTCATGGACATCCTGAGGTCTCTAGGCTGCAAGTTGAAGAGAAATGCCACATTCCAATCTGTTGGCAGCAGCAGGAGAAGTTCCGTTTGGTCAGACTCTCCTGACACTTCAAACTCCATTGCTGTCTGAGGAAGAAGAGAGAGAGACATCTGATCATAGACTCTGAGAATTGGATGTAGCCTCCTATTTTAACAAGTGATTCTAATTCATTCGAATGAGTTTACATTCTTAATCGCTTCTTTCAGGTATTCTTCAAGACAACATCATGATCATTTGGCTCCACTGACATTAAATCATGGTACGTTATATGTTCAGGCTACGATTAAAACGTTGCTACTTGAGGAGTGCTATTTTCAGTGTTTGGATGTGCTTAGAGAAGCTCCAAGAACTCTGTTTTCATTGTTTATCAGTTATTGCATTATGTTTCAAGTCTGTTCTACCACGGCTAAATGTTTCTGTATAATTCCTGTGTAAAGCTGTGGCAGGCCATGCTTCCCTTCCCCTTCTTGTAGTCCACGATTCATTGGCAGCTGATCATGAGAATAAGCACTCATTGTACAAAAGTTATTCTGAGGTGTTATTCTGTATTTGTCTGATGTATTGTTATTGTAAGGCAGAAATGTCACGTTTCCTGTTTGTCACTGCATTATGGTAGCTGAAATGTAACATTGCAACTGCAGCTTTTTACCAATTTTCTGATAAATGTTAAGAGACTTAATTTTTTACCACTTTTTTTTACTGTACTGTTCATTTATTTTTTGGTGTACAAATAAGTGGTGTTTTAATAAAATTTTATACCCTCTGTCAAAGTGTTTTACATTTAAAATAAGGCAACCTTTAATTCTCCTGTAAAGGAAAGTTCAGGTTGTGTCCACCTTGCAACCTCTGTGGCCAAAGCGGTGCGGCTTATTTTATTTTCAGATTTTGTCCCGTGCAGGTGTTGTGAGTAGGGAGTCTTATTAGAACATCGTATTGTTCTTCCTTTAACATTTAAATGTATCACTCAAAATGTATTTTTGCCGTGGTAAATGTAAACACTGTTTCTGCAGCATGCTGTAAACCCCCCCAGCAGCCGTTTCGGGCATTAAAATGAACAATAGACAAATAGGTAGTTTTCTTCCTGATGATCTCGTTTGCTTGTGTTTGTCATATAGAAGCATCACCATTAATTTAAGATTGTTTTATAACCAGTTCAAAACTCATCGCATTTGAAGACAAACACAAACTGACAATGCACAAACAGCTTTGAAACATACCAAAAGAAATGTGCATTTTTACAGGGAAAGTATTGAAAAGTTAAATGTCATATTTTGGTAAATAATTAAAAAAAATACCTTGAAATTTGTAGTGTTGTTGGTGCTATGGTCAGAAAGGCTGCTGTGAGATCTTTTCTGTTTACAGATGCCTTTTGGGGGCTTATTACAAACCAGCTGATATTTGATACTGACCTCATTCTTCCTTTATGTAGCTGCTTCTGTAGACAAAGCAATACATTATGACTAAGGCTTACTGTATGCCCTGCTAGTATTGTAAAGATATCTTTATTGGCTATTCTCAGAAACTGATATTTGCACGATTGTTCCTACTTAGTGAGCAGAAACGATAAACAATCGGTAGAAACATATACCCTACAATGAGTTGAAGGTTGTGGCTCAGATTGCACAAAACTTCTATTAGAGTTTAAAGGAAGTGTATGTGCAACATGTTTTTCTATTTTCACTCTCATTTGTGTAGGTATTAAGCTTGTTAGATATTTAAAGTGAGCATTCATACTCTGAATGATTATGGTGAGGATCTGGTGAGTACAAAGGAGAGCCTACAAAAAGGAACCTAAAAAAAAACCTGACACCCACGTTATGGTTTCAGTGGAAATGTTATCTCTGTTTTCACAGGAAATTGAAACAAGGTAGCAACAAGCAGCAGAGAAGTTACAAGAAATAGATGACATCAGAGACAAGTGACTTGTGGCATATATATAGTAGATATCCTCACACCAAACACTGCACCGTGCTAGCTAGAAAAAACACTGGTGAGAATCCTTGAAAAGTGTATTGTTCATCATCTCCATGACCGGCAGACATTAAACTACAGTGGGGTAAATTGTGTCGAGTCAATATTATTTTATTTGTTTTGTGGAGAGTGCAATAAGGTTAGAGTTTGTACTGATAGCAGGGTTGTTACTCATTAAAGAAGAGCAGCTTGAATCTATTTTACTAAACACATAAGCTCTAACTGCTACAGGAAATAATGCTTCAATTTGATGCGGCACTTAAACCTAATAATAACCGACAATGCTATTGACATGCTGAAGCTGTTGCAGTCAACCAGCAAGTCTCAGTTTTAAACCATTCTTTTTTTATTGGCTGTAGATTAACATTAACAACATTCTAGTTGAAACAGAAACAGCAAAAAAAAAAAAAAAAAGGTTGTCTAAGAAGAAGAGGAAGAGTCTTTTCTTGTTTAAAACATTTCTTGACTGGCTTTTTAAAAACACCCATTTGTGAAAATACATACTTTCTTTCAGGTCACATTATGTGTGTTGTTGTGATTGTCTTGCTTTGAGCCTTAAGCAGACCATAACATGTTAAGCAGCTTACAGATGAAGCCACTTATTTGTGCTGTGATGTCCAAAACAGGATTTTATCTTCTTTAACTCCTCTTTCTTTTCTCCATTTGCAAACAACACTCTTCTTTTTCGAGTTGATTGCCCTTACAAAGTGTGGCACTGTTCTCTCTCTCCACTGAACAAACAGGTCTTTAGATGACAGTAAACATAAAGCCGCCATAGAGAGCTTCTTTCCTCCTCCTCGCTCTGTCTCACTTGCTGTCACCTGACTGATGACATCACCACCTGTTTGTGTCATGCTGTGTCCTACAGTCCACCCGCACATGTTGTAACAATGAAGTCAAAGAGACTAAAAAAAAGGCTGTGGGATTCACTGAAGGGGAATTCTCTAAATACACTCAGGTCATGCTCAGGCATCCACACATTTACTGCGCAATTGTGGAATTGACACAGTCTTTACTGCCTCAAGCTGTTCAGTAAAAAGGAAAGCGAAACAGTTTTGATATGCTCGCAGCAGTTAAGTCATAAAACATGTCGGACTGTTAAATGAAATTCACAAACATAAGAGCCTTTAAAACACTGATGGATAAGCTTCATGATTGTGTTAGCTGAAAAACAGTCTAATGACACAAAGATTTGTCTGTACATATAAAGTAATGTAATACATCCAATAATACAAATACAATATTAATTTAAAAAAAAACCCATGATTGTGGTTGACAGGCTATACAGTTGTGCAATACTGCAATACCATGACGCGGCTCGGAAACTGTCACATTGAACTGCAATCTGAGGGAGTTCTTATTGTACCGGGTATAGTCCTCCACCTCTTGACCACATGACACGACTTCCCTAAAGGTGTGAAGCATTGTTCATGTCTTTTCTGAGTCACACAAGGGGACTTTCATCAACAATGAGTTGACTGAACCTGTTGATCAACACTCATCTGTTTCTGCTCCTCAACCTCGTCAGGACTCTGGTCAGACGGGGCCTCATCGCCCACACACAGCTCCCACAGTGGGCCGTCATGTTGAACTGTATCACATCTCAGCATGGTCAGCGCTCGCTTCCTGAAGTTTCCACACAGCCCGAGGTAGAGCACAGGCCTGAGGCAGGCGTGAACGCAGCCCAGAGCTTTTGTGACCATCAGAGCTGTTTGCAGGGAACCTTCAGTGTTTCCGGTGCTGCCTCTGATCGTGTCCACAGTGAGTGTGATGTTGTACGGCGTCCAGCAGAGAAAGAAGACACCCACCAGGGGCAGGATGACCCTGGTGAAGGCTCTCTGCGTCTTCAGGACTTTTGAGCTTCGCTGAAACTGCAGCAGAATAAATGAGCAGCAGATGATGATGGCAGCTGTGGGCAGCAGGAAGCCCAATGTGAGGTGGAGAAGGCGGGACACCAGCTGCCAGTCTGTTCGAGAGTAGAAGTGAACACACAGAGTTTGGTCTTCATAGTCTCGTGTAACCACCAGGAAAGTCCAGTCAGGAATTGGAAGGATCAGAGAGATGAGCCAGACCAACAGGCAGCTGATGTGGACAAACCTGTCCCTCTTCTGGGAGTATAGCTGGATGCCGTGGACGATGGACAGGTAGCGATCCAGACTGATGCACACAAGCAGAAGGATCCCGCAGTAGAAGTTGGTCTAGGAAAAGCAAAGGAAAACTTAAGCTGTGGATCTCTAAAAATCTGCCATTTTTATCACTTAACTTTCCCTTTCCTTACTCTGACCCCCTCCTCTCGCCTCTTCCCAGAAATGTTGGGATGTCTGGAGAAATATGGATGTCAAAGCAGGAATGTTTGCGCAATAAGAGGATGAAGTACAACAAACTCTGCCTGTCAAGAGTCCTGATTAGACAAGAACTAATGGCCTGCAGCCAGACAGAATCCACCCAAACTACTTTTTCTCACAGCCTCAATAAAATAAAGATCCTCAATCTGGGCCTGTTCTGCACATCACTCAGTACTTACATTAAAGACTGCTCCACTGAACTTGCAGAGAAAAATCCTAAAGTACCATCCAAACTGAGCGGCTTGTGTAGCCAGGAGGGGTAGTGTCAGCAGCAGCAGGACGTCTGCGACACTCTGGTGGAGGATGAAGGTGTCTGAAAGACTCCAGGATCGCCTCTTCAGAACCAGAACGCCAAGGAGGACTCCATTCCCGAACAGACCAACAACCAAAGCCAACGAGTACAGAACCGAGACGAACACTGCTGTGCCGCCAACTGGCTCAACTTTCTTTTCATAGTCACCATAGTCATAGGTGGAGTTGTGGAGAAATAATCCACCGAATTCCACGTCCATGTCCATCTAGAGTCAAACAAACAAAAGATATTTCAAACAAAAAAGGAATAAAAAATAAATAAAAAATGCTGCAAATGATTTCTCTCAGTGTAGCTCAGTCAGTTAAGAGAATGAAGTCTGGAAAGTCCAGCCGAGCATTTATAAACACCCTCACAATTACACACAACTCACATGGTGCGATGTCACTGTATTAGGCAAGAGGGGAATAGGTTTAAACGGAAAGTCTAATTCCCCTTAGTTCTGCTCTCTCACACCCACTTCTTCTCACAGCTAAATAACCTACTGAATGCACTGCGGCTGTGATCTATTGTTACTGCTATTGTGGGTGAAGCATATATGCAAACACGCCACGAAACCAGAAGTTCGCTTGTGCGAGATTACAAAGATAGAAATAAGATATGACTATATGAATAGAAAGAGAGGCGGAAATGGAAACAGAAAGGAAATGCTTGGTTTTTGTTGTCCTGCAATTATGATTAAAAATGAAATAACATATAAACGCGTAGGTTATTAATCAAAAAGTCAACATGAAGCCTATCCAATAGCTTGGACTAACACATTCAAATTTGAAAGCTTTATACCAATATAACAGTGTTTTTCTTACCGTAAAAGACAACAGCTGCAGGTCTACAGGACACAAATCTCTGTGTGATGTGAACTGATGACGCTTTAAAAAAAAAAAAAAAAAGTTTTGTTGTTTTGGATGAGAAAACCAGCGTCCAGTGTTTTGGAGGGAGGACGTATACGAGCTCCTGCAGCTGTCGTGAGCCCGTCAAACGAGCCGAAAAAAGCACAAAAACTGAACCGACAGCATGAATGTGAACACACTTCAGCCACCACGACACTTTAATATAGAGGCAAATCTCTTGTAGAATGGGTTCGTGTTGAATCAACAAGACAAAACCACCGCCGACTAGAAAGGGAAACTGCAAATTAGCTGACGCTGAGAAAGGCTTCGTTTCTTTTCCAACGAACTGGAAGTTTTTCAATCTGCACACAATTCCCGTCAATGCGGTCTCTTCATACACTTTTATTAACACGGAGAGGACTTACATGAACTTTAATTGCTTCCTCACTGGATTGTTTTGATCCGTCAACTGTCCACCCTCCTCGCACATCGCCACTCATGACAAATCTTCCCGTCTATGCTTCAAAGCCATCTGAACAGTCGAGTCTGCCGTGTAATTGCTTTTCAAAATAAAACGCAGGGTTAAATTAACTGCTGTATGTCAAATATTAATTCAATCAAGAGTGGCTAAAAAAATACACCGCTTTTTTGTGTTTAATTAGAAGCACAGAAGATGGAAAAAATGTACATTTAAGATGAACTATGCATAGATGTTTTTAAACTGATCCTTTATTTTGAAGGCCAAATCACCATGTCCCTGCTTTCTTTCTTTTACTTTACGCAACTTTGTATCGACACGCAGCGCTGGACACAAAGAAGTCACACAAAGCGCCACAGAGCAGAGGGAAGCACTCTCCGCTAGATGGCGCTGTTTTGCTGTTTTCCAAACTGAACGACAGATCCAAAAAGAGGCCGGTGAGGAGTTTTAAACTGGTCATAAAAGATAATTAAATGATTATTAAAAGATTACCAATGACGAAATTGAAAACCTAGGGCTATATTGAGTAGCACTTTATTGTTTAAAACTTCTGCCACTGGGTTACAGCCTTTGTTTTATTTTCACCAACAAAGATTCACAGTGAGAGAAACGTTTGACTATTTTAAGACAGCAGGATGAGATTTATTTTTTTTAAATCAGAAACAATAGCCCACTTACACGTGTAGGCAAGACAACCCAGCAAAGAGGTGAGACGTAGGCTGCTACTCTATCCACATGGGGGCGCCAAAATCTACAAAACGAAAAGGTCCTGGTCCTGATTTGAACTTTAGACTAGCAGGTTGTCATAATAGAAAACACTTTTTGGGGCAATTTTTAAATAACGAGAGAGGGAGTAATAGTGGTATACATTTTATTATGGTTTGACACAACCAGTGAATTGCAGGTTTTAGTTATTTATATGGGCATTTCCATCCTGTGCTACTTATTTCTATATTTCCTTAAGCCTACATTTAAAAACAATATTACCTCCCTAAATCAATTCGGCAGATGTTTTCAAAAGTTGCTTATGATTTTAATATTTTACATCTGAAAAAAGAATTGTTTTTGATGCCACTTAGCCTATATTACAGATGTGTATGAGTTTGTTTCCTTAAAAAAATGGTTCCATCAAAATAACTCATTGCATCCTAAAGATAAATCATATCCAACATCTCAAAACCTCAAGAACAAATAAATCAGAGAATCCGAGAAACTCCACAGCTAAATAAAAAAAACTAAAAAGTACTCTCAATTTGATGTTAACTTTAGATTTCAAAAGCAGAACTTTTAAATGTTATGAGTACATTCTTGTATTAATGATGTTACCGTACCTTAAAATTGTATTACATTCCTACCACTGCTTCCTTTGTCCTACATTTTAGTTTAAGTTGTTTGATAATCAGATTTGGTAACTATTTTACATGTTGAATATTAAATTATGAAAACAAAACATGTTTTTAAACAAATGATACATTTTTTTTGGTTAAAAAATATCCAAAGCAAACAAACTATTAGCTGATGCTCATTCACTGACATCATTTAAACGTTATTTATATCAAAGTGTAAGAAATTAGTAAAAAAAATATTGCAGATAAAAATGTTACACTGAAGGGGCCATTTAGATGATAAAATGTTTTACTTTGAAATGCATGTGCTCACAAATGCCTATATGTATTGTCCACACTAGTAATGGAGTTTTATTGTTTACATAGAAAAACACACTGTGTACATTGCAGCAGCTCTCTTAGATAAGAAGAACTGTTTTATTTTTCTCCACAATGAGCTCTGTCTTAGCAGCTGCATGTTGTGTTGGATAAAATAAAAACTTCCAGAGAACTTGTTATAAATATTTGAACAAGACATTTTATTTGTTTTATTTCAAAAATATTTATTATAAAAAGCTTTGTACACAAAAAAAAAGGCTTTCGGCTTTTGGCATTTTGAATCATTCAAAATGATTCATTGTTTTCATTTCCACTTTTGAGTCCTGTTTTAAAGCACACAGCTAGAGAACTGGATCATAAAAAAAAACCAAGAAATGAGAATGTCAACATTTACAAAATGTCAAAATATCAACTGTTTGAACTATTTAAAAGCTGAATCTTATTTTTTATTCTTCAAAGCCACATTTGTGTGGAATCCAAGGAGGAAAATGCCCTGAATGTAAGGAAGTGACACAGATCTGACTTCTTAAGCCACAGTCTTCACCTGAACTGCTGAGCAAGCTTTTCTCGGAGTATGAAGAAATCCAGATGTTTCACAAGATTTGACTTGTGGACAAAAAACAAGATGAGCATGTTTTTGCAAGAAATTTACTTGACAGCATAAGCATGTTGGATATGGCATTCTATTGTAATTATCCACCCTCACATTATGAGTTTACGACAGTAATCCTAAAAAGAGGAGTAACAAATAACAAAATAACATGTGGTAATCTGCACTAAACCAACAACAAGATGGCAGAGCAGCAGTGAAAGAAATACATCACAGACAGAAAAGTTCCCCCATAGAGGAATTCAAAGTGAACATTCTTCACACACACATATCTCCCCCTCCTCTGCATCTTTCTTTCTGGACTTTCTTAGTAGTTTCACACCATGACAGAGAAGGAGGTGTTTTCGCTTTCTGCAGAACTGAAAGATCCTGTGGGTTTTCTCTTCCTCCCCTCCCTCCATCCCTTCATCCCCAGCCAGCCTCTCTGTCCCAGCATCCCTTTACACATTCTGGCCAGCTCTTTTCTAAATTTCACCCCAACAAAGCCATACAGCAGCGGGTTCAGGGCGCAGTGCGACAGTCCCAGACTCTCAGTGATAAGAGTCCCAATGTCCACCACACGGCCAAACTGGCAACCTCCATTCACCAAATTCAGCCTGTGCAGACTGTCTATCAGCTGGAAGCAGTTGTAAGGTGCCCAGCAGATGACAAATACAGACACTAAGGAGACGATGAGGCGGAGGGATTTACGTTTTTGGTGGCGGGTGGCGTTGCACAGAGACCTGAAGATGCGGATGTAGCAGTACAGCATGATCAAAAGAGGGATCCCAAAACCCAGAATCACACTGACCATCTGCAGCCCCACCTGCCACTGTGTGGAGTTCTCTAAGAACAACAACCGACACAGCAGCACCTTGTGTTCACCTACAGTATTTACCTCATCCACCTGTTTGAAGGTAATGTCTACTGCGCTCAGGCCCAGGCAGCACACCCATATGAGAGCACACGCAACCTGGCATGAAAGGTGTTCCTCTTCCACCCAGAGCTGACAGCGTGAACGATGGCCAGGTATCGGTCAAAGCTGATGCAGGCGAGGAAGAGGATGCCACTGTAGCGGTTCAGGGTGAAGAGGGCGCCAGAGATCTTGCAGGCAGCCTCACCAAACACCCACTGGTGAGCCCACTGCACTGCAAACAGGGGCAGGGTGAAGGCCAGCAGGAGGTCAGAGATGGCCAGGTGAAGGAGGAAGGTGTCAGTCAGAGAAAAGGCACATGACCCTCCACTCTGAGAGTTACGGTAGCGGCGGATCACACACAGCACAAGGATGTTGCCCAGGAAAGCCAGGAGAAACACCAGGCAGTAAATGGCAGGAGAGTAACTCTGTGCAAAACTGTAGATGTCTTCCTGCAAGCAGGGAACTGCACGACTCCTGGAAGCATCAGGGGGCGAGGTGAAGTTGTCATAATCCTCAAAAATCTGCAGACAACAGAGAGAAAAAAATATCTGTAAATTATTAGAAACACTGGCTTTTTTAAGAAATAGAACTTTTCAGCAGTTCACACATCTTACAAAGCGGAAATCAGACACATTTCTTTGGATTTCCTTTAGGCCTCACTCATAAATCTTCTGACATGTATGCCACAAGACTGCTTTCCTTTAACTGTAAGATGTTATTTTAACCTGAAAGTCATAGGACTCCAGGAAAATCTGTTTCAGGATTTTATTTGATCAAAAATATCAATGTATGTGCTAGATAAACCCTCTGAATGATATGCTGCAGAAAGAAATCCTCATGTTTTACAAAATAACATGAAAAAAGACAGAAGTCCCAGAATTAAAAACAATCCACTCACCCAATAATCCTCTGTGGTTGGTGTGACTTTATCCATATTTGTTGTAAACCAGGAGGCAGCAGAACACCTGAAACCCTCCAAGAGTCAAGAGAGCGTGCTCAGAATCACATCTAACATGCTTTTTTTTTACAGACTGTCTTTACCACATTCCAGATGAGGGAGGATTAGAAAGAAGAAGTCACATTTCAGGAACTGAATCCTTGCAAATTTAGACAGATGCTAACAGGACTGTGGTAAGGGAATGGATGACTGTCAGGGAAAATGTGATATATATTTTTTTTAAAACATGGTTGTAGACAGCTATGACGTTTAGACAGACAATGAATGACTGACATTCCCTTTATGGAAAATATTGTATTTGATACGTTCACCCACACAGACTGCAAATCCCCCCCAAAAATATCTTCAGTCTGTTGAAGGCCTATGATGTTATTAAAAATGAACACATTTTGTTTGTTTATGTTCCAGATTTTTTACAACCCAATCCTGGACAAATTAAGAAGAAGTGAAAGTGCTCTGTAAGCAGGAATTTGATAGTCTGCTCTATGTCGTTTTCATGTTCAACTTGTTTTGGAGTGTAAACATTTCACCCAGACTGTGCTGTAATAAGGAAGTGAAGAATTATACATACTCTTTGCAAAGGTAAAAAATCTGAGAAGAAAAATTAGCAGAACAAAACTTCTACAGAATCTAAATATTGGCTTTGATTTCAGGGATTTTTAAATCCAGAAAATTAACTAGTATTAATCTAAATTCACTATGCATGAAGAGGAGAGCACGGCCTTACCCTACCCTCGGCGATCTTTCAAAAGAGACAGGTTATAAACCAAGGCACTGATGTATGTAACCTACTGCATCGTACTTTAAAATACACACGACAGGATATGATGTTATCTGTGGTTACTGTAGAAATAGCAAAGTCAGAGAGGTAAAAACATGAACATCTAGTGTTTTTTCTTTTAGAGATGCTTTGGAAAACCATGACCCAAAATGGCATTTGCAAAACTGCACTATGCATGCAAACTAAATACATTTAGATCTCTGTATCTAGTGATCGGAAAAAAACTTGCTTTTGAAGATTTGAGGCACATCCTCAGCGATGAAAATATAAGAATATCTGTTTAGAGTGTGTATTATATCACTACTTGGTCATCAGTTATTCACACATGCAGGCACATGCATACAGCACTAAAATGCTGCTTAACAGTTAAAGTGCAGTGATGACTCATGTATAACTCTCTTTTTAGTTTTTACTACATAGACCAGAACAGAGAAAGACAGATGAAGAATAAAATCCCCTTTCGGTATTGCTATATGCTTTAAAAAAAAAAAAAAAGTGTGACGTGCGTAAGGAACTGAACATTCTTGCGGTTCACACTGTCGTGAGGGTCTTCTGGTAAACGCTGTTATTGAGCAATACCACAAATGCCTTATTCAAGTAAGTCACCACATAGCAGATGAGCAGTACACACCCCAGACACATATTATCAAAATTAAAGCTATGTTAAAACAGAATGAGCACATACCCCACAACTCAAATAACAACAAGTCATTAGGAGAACAGACAACAGAGAAAAGCAGAACATGGTTAAACACATTATGATTATCTTTGGACTAGTTCTTTGAACTAACTATGGTTTTACATTAGTCTCCCAGGACATACATTACATATAGAATGTTTTCGGGTGAGTACATGGAGGGGCAGCAACTGCTTGTTTGTGGTATGTGTTTTTTAAAGGTTTTATTATTTGGCCTTGTTATGCATTTATTTGAGAGACAGGACAGTGGATAGAGTCAGAAATTGGAGAGAGAGCGAGAGAGCTTGGATTGACATGCAGGAAAGGAGCCACAGGTTGGACTCGAACACAGGGCCGCACGCCTGAAGGACCACATCCTCCGTACATGGGGCGCACGCACCAACCACTGCACTACCTGCGCCCCGAAAGAATACATGTTTCATTCCATAAAAACATTGTTGTTATTGCATGTTTTTTAAACCCTCATGCTGAGGCCTCTCGGACCTTTTGAAGTGGCTCTCTGATGTAGAAGGAACAATGTAAACCGGCCTCTATCTGTTTAATTTTTTCTTTTTGCACCTGCTCCAAAGTCATTATGTACACACGAGAATGGTCAGATCCTCTGACCTGAACAATACAGGATTTTTTTAGGCAGAAATGAGAAAATTTGAAAATCTAACAATATATTGGCTGATTCAAGATTCAAGATTTTTATTTGTCACATGCTCATACAGATGTGCAGTGAAATGTAAATAACAGTTTTTAAGACAAAACAGAAAAAATTATAATGAAATAATCGTAATAGATACCCCTTAAATTAGAGTTATCGTTTTAAGAACAAACCATTGGAACAGGGTAAATTAGCGGAACCTGTTACTGTGAAAAATCATCTCGTCAGTGCTCTCTGGTGGACAGTCTTTGTAATGATGATACTCTTTCTAAATAACACCATCAAACCAACTCTGTATTGCAATTTTCTTACAATTTATCTGGAGACAAAATCACCTACGTTGATCAAATGTACCTGAAATAAAGTAACATTGGCAGATGCATATGGACCTTCTTTCAATTTATGAAAAACAAAACTCTCATGTCCCATCTGTGGGACATTCACGTTCTCATCAGCTTCCATAATGTGATTGAGCTGACTCACAAAGGGAATTCTGTTTCAGCCAACTGAAGAGCTTCAGTGTAGTGTGTTTATAATGTAGATGTATGAAGTCCTTTCCTGCTTTCTTAATAATTCGCTGTTAGCAGTTGTATGTTTTTACGATATCAGTTATTGGTTAAAATAAGCAAATTTCAGGATGAGGAAGAGGGCAGAGTGAAATGCCTCTTCTGCTCATATTATTTGTTTTGAAGTTTTGCAGATTCAATCTAAGAGTTGGTTCAAAAGTTGTGACTTCCTCAGTAACATAAAAGTTTAAAATGTGTGGAAAAATTCACTTAAAGACGTGAACATTTCAAAGGTTCATTTCAGGCCTTCCCTCAAGAGATATGTAACACAGTGAGTATAGATTGAGTCAACTCAAAGCACTGAGATGTCTGTTTGACCTTTAACCCGTACCAACAAAGGTTTCAGTTCCTTATTTGTGAGGCTTATAGACTCCACTGTGTGCAAAAAAAGAAGAAGAAAATATTTTATATCGGATATCTTTTTCTGTTTTAGACTGCTGTAATTAGAATTCATTTGTATGTATACTGAGAACAAGTTAAATCTGGAGTCAATTTGCTTTATGCTCACCTGGACATTAAAGCTAATTCTGAGTCAGATTAAATTTCTTCTGATTTTGTCGTATGATTATAATTGTTGATTCCTAAGCTAAAGGGGAAACAAAGATCATCCATAGATAAACAGGTGATAAAAAAGATGTTGTATTTCCTCTTTCATCACCACAGCAAACATGGGTTGAGAACTGTTTGTTAGAGTTGAACGCACATCCTGACAAACCATACAAATACAAATATGTACCAATGTCAAACCATGTGTTGCAGCACAAGGCAAATCCTTTTTGATGTGAATGTTGCTCTTATTTTCACATTTATAGAGTTGAGCCCACTGTGTGCAAACACCCTAAAAGGTAAGGTTACTCAAATACAAATATGAACTACATTCCTACTTTGTTCTTCATTTACAGTATGTGGATACCAACCCGGTCTAGTAAGGTCCACCCTGCTGAAAGATGTGCTTTGCCCCTAAACTAAACATTCAGGCTGTGTTTTACGAGGTGTTTGCACCTGCCTGATTGGGCTTCAGTTGAGGTCTAACCAGGTATAAGAGCTGTGTGTGTGTCCTTGCTCATCTGTTTGTGGAAGAAGCCTGCAACCTGACACCTTTTCAGGAGTTCAACAAGAACCTCAGGAGGTGAGTGATGAAGAAATGTTTCAACACAGTGTGTCCTGCTACATGGATATCTTCAGGCCTTTATTCAAATAATTTTAGTGTTACGACTTTGCTCTTCTTCCTCATATTTTTTTTCCTCTAATTGCAGCAATGGCGTTTCAGTCCAGTGTGATCAGCGCGCAGCCTCAGGTCACTGTCACGCAGTACAGAGTGTCCTCTGGATTAACAGACTGGAGTTCTAATGTTTGTGACTGCTGTGAGGACTGCGGCATCTGTAAGTGTGATGCGTGCACTCCTGGAATTAAAATGACCAACACTGTGAGATGAACTGCGATGTGACATCTTTGTCTCTATTCCAGGTCTTTGTGCATCCTTCCTCCCGTGTATCCTGGCCTGTCAGGTGGCTCAGGACCACGGGGACAGTTGCTGCCTGGCTTGTCTTCCTGGGGCCATGATCGCTCTCAGAACAAGCCTCCGCAGCAAATACCACATTGAAGTAAGCATACTGAAGTTATATATTAGATCATTAGAAAAGTCACCAATGAACTATCCCTGTGTCCCTTCTTCCAGGGCTCGGTGTGTGATGACTGGGTGGTCATGGCCTGCCTGCCTCTGTGTGGACTGTGTCAGATGGCACGGGAGCAGAAGACGAGGGGATTAAAATAAAGGATGTTGAATCTAATTTTAAACGGCAAAAATATAGAAATATGTACTATATAGTTCGTGATTTTAGATTCAAATAAAAAAAATGATGGGCATAAAGATCAATCATTTCTAAATGCCATTGAGCATAATTAGTCATGTAAGAGCCTGATAAATGGACTGAAAGACCATTTTGATTTCATGCATCATTCTTTATTATTATTTAACATACAATAGCTGCAAGACTACATGTGATATTATAAAGAAATAATTCAAAATTTCATGAAAAGTAAATTGAAAATCATTGTGATGATACTTTGTTCAAGCACCAAACCACGAACAATCTGAAGAAGTAAATGTTGAAACTTACAGCAACGACAGATCTGCATTTGTTTAATCGTGAGTTTATACATTAACTGTTCTGACATGGAATATAACATGAATACTGATTTTCTTGAAAACAAGATTATTCACTAATGTGTATGAGGTATTCATTTCCTATTTTGTAAAGAAGCATTCATATGTGGTAAATGTGCTTTATAAATAAAGTGACTTGACTTAAACTAACGGACCTATCATTTAATGATTGTGGCTTTACATGCTGTAATCTGCAGCTACACATGAATGAAAAAGAACGACTGCACCCATCTTCCTCTTTCTAAATGAGTTGTGCATCTAAGATGTCCACGCTACAGCAGGCTCTCTGAATAGGCGAGGTCATCAACACTTAAAGAGGTAAGGCTGTGGTAGTAGAGAACTGTTGTTGAATAACTTCAAACATACAAACATATCTTGAGGTTACTGCAGGCTTTTTTTAACAATTGAGTGTTTATTAAGATGGTCTGAAAGCTTTACTTCCCACAGGAAATCCTTTTACTTGCGTGTGTTTTTTTCCTTGCGTGGCAGATGTGTTTTACAATAATAACACTTGATTCAAAAGAACGTCAATCGGAAATATATACATTTTCAGAGAATCATTTTGACAGAAAATGTGCAAGGATTAGTTCTGAAGTCTGAAGTTTGTCTCCTCTGATGCTGCTGTTACTCACTTTGTTAAAAATATCACTAAAGTTGGATGTAGTCCTTTCCTGCTTTAATTTAATTTAATTTGCTGTTAACCGTTGTCTGGCTTGTTTTAAGGATATCAGCTATTGGTTAAAATAAAGTAAAGCAAATATCAGGAGGAAGCGGGCAGAGGGAAATGAGATCTGAAAATATCAGATGAGGAACCCAGTAATCCTTGTCAAAGTTGAACTTCATTGTCACAAGAGCCATTGTGTTTTTTTTTTTAGGCTCAATGTCAGTTTAACTTCATCAGTTCATACATCAGACATTATTTCACCCACATGCATTTCATTGACATGTAAATTAAAACAAAATTCTGTCACTTCCCTGATGTATTTTCCCTTATGGATCTATGTGCTGTTATAAATATATAATAGATTACTCTCAAATTAAATAGAAGAAAAATGATAAAGGACATGAGACAGTCTTGATAGCGAATTGTTATTGTTGTTTTTTATAGTTTCACATTTCACACTTTAGTCAGAGCTTAATATTTCACATTTAAACCTGAAAATACCAAAAATTTAAATCTTGCTGGAACATGTACTCAAACTACTCACTTTTGTTTCATGTTCTCCATATTGCCTGTAAAGGTATGAAACATGACTGACATGACTGTCACTATTGTTTTACTATACAAGTATGGAGCCTCTTTATGGAACTTTCAGTTTGAACATGTGAACTGTTAAAACCCATTTTCTATCCACAGATTCCTGATCCACCTTTCAACTGATCTACAACCCATATGATTGGTTAGAAGATATTTTCAGAATAAAATTCAAACAGACCAAACCATTGAAGACCCTGGTGAAAGATCTGTAAAAGTCTGTCACTCTGGAAATCTACACAACATGGAGAGACTAACTTATCAGCTGTTGTCACTTGCAGTTCTTTTTGCTGCTGTTGATCTCATCTGTTGTTACAGCTTTAAGAACTGCATCGAAGACCAGTATTCCTATGGAAAAACTTACAAATGCATCCATCGAAATGACAAAAACGTGTCGTCCTATGTTGATGATCTGCCGTCGTCTTCCGTCAACCTCACCATCAGTATAACTCCTCTGTGGCTCATTCCTGACAAGAGCTTTGCTCATCTGCCAAGCCTTCAGAACCTCAGACTGGATTATAACAAGTTGAGCATTATAAATCAGTCTGCTTTCCAAAACTTGACTCTTCTTAAGACTCTCAATTTGTCCTCCAATTTAATATCAGAGCTCCACCCTGCTGTGTTTAAGGACCTACACAATCTCACCATTCTCTTACTAACAAATAATACATTAAAGCACCTCCCTGAGGGCCTTTTCTCCACTCTTCCCAATCTAGACACTTTAAACATAAGGCAAAACTTTCTGAAAGATTTCTCCACAATTGCAGAGTCTGTGTCAAATCTAACACGTCTGAAGTGTTTAGATCTTTGCAACAACAATTTGACCTCACTCAACCACTCAAACGTGTCCCTGCCCAAATCTCTCACTATTTTATATTTATGTAGAAATAATCTGTCTACATTAGGGTGTGAACAGTCATTTCTGGGGTTCATCCAGCTTCTAGATTTTTCATACAATCCTGGGCTTCCTACGATGGCTTTTCAAGGAGTGGATTTGAGTCATATAAACTATCTGCGTTTGCGTTCAACAAATGTCAAGGTGGTGGAGTTTCTAAACATCAGCAATGTCAATGCTGGTCACGTTGATTTCTCAGGCACCCATCTGAAAAATGACAGCCTGCTGATTGAGCTCTGCAGATTGTTAAAGAGAAAGAGAAAGGTGAAATGGATTAAAAATATGAACCTGGAAAGTAATGGGATTGAGAATGTAACAAATAAAACCCTAAGCTCTTGCCCAAATATCAGAGGGGCATTGGATCTATCACGAAACGAACTGAAAACCACAAGTTGTCTCAACTTTCTTAACGGACACACACAGTTGAATAGGTTCACTGCAGAGTATAACCGTTTAACTTCCCTCCCTTCCTGTAAGACACCAAATATGGTTATTTTCCCAAATGTGAAAACCATTAGCTACCGTTACAACCGCATCCTATCAGTCAACTCTCATGCCTTCTATAACACACCAGATCTCAAGACGCTAAAACTGAACATAAATAAAATTGCATATCTCAATATTACAGCTCTCAAAGGGCTAAAGAGCCTTGAGATACTTCGTCTGGACAATAATCTCTTAACTGAGTTGTTTAGTGACTCATTTGCGGATCAGATCGAGCTGAAAACCCTCAACCTGCGTAACAATCGCATCGCTGCTATTTTTGAAAGGACCTTCCACAGTCTCAAGAAACTCAATATACTTGACCTAGGAGGTAATAAGATCACTCATTTTGCGTCATCAGGCCTTGATGGACTGGAGAGTTTGTCCAAATTCTATCTAGATGGTAACAACCTTAAAACAATCGACACTTCCCTCTGTCGTGTTTTTCAAGACACACTAACAGTGCTAGATTTACAAAGTAATCAGATACGCTTCCTCACAGAACATACGAGTTCACCATTTATGAATCTAAGTAAACTCAATGATCTGAAACTGGACGGGCAGCGTCCTTATGGCCTCACAATTTTACCCAGGAATTTTTTCCGTGGCCTAAACTCACTGCAATCTCTGTATCTCACCAACAATAAAATCTATCAGCTCCCCCCGATGTCTTCATGATCTGAAAAGTTTGAAATTCCTCACATTGGATAACTGCTGTGTCGGGGTGACACAGCTACAGCCAGGAATCTTTAAAAATCAAAAGAAATTGTCCAAATTGATTGTAGAAAATATGGTTATTCAGAACTTCTCAAGAGAGGTTTTTGGGGATCTGACACAACTGCAGACGCTGCAGCTAAACCGAAATGGGATGCAGAGCATTCCTGTTGATGCACTAGAAAGTTTACCTAAACTGCGATACCTTGACATGAGAACCATTCCCTTAACCTGTACCTGCACAAACACCTTGTTGCAAAACTGGACATTGAATAACACAAATGTCCAGGTTGTCTATCTCTACAATATGCCATGCCCAAACAATCGAAAACACAATTTCTACAACTTTGACACCAAAGTTTGTTACATAGATCTTGGAGAGTACCTGTTCTTAAGCACAGCAGTTTTGGTTTTTCTGTTAACATTCACTCCATTACTCTATGTCAAACTTTACTGGAAAATGAAGTACAGCTACTACGTGTTCAGATCCTGGTTCAACGAGCAGTGGCGCAGAATCAGAGATAAGGAGGAAAATTGCAAATATGATGCATTTATTTCCTATAATTCTTCTGATGAACAATGGGTCATGGACCAGTTGCTGCCTAACTTGGAGGGAAATGGATCATCTTTCAAACTTTGCCTACATCACAGGGACTTTGAGCTGGGCCGGGACATTGTGGACAATATAGTCACTGCTGTATACGGCAGCCGCAAAACTATTTGTGTGGTGAGCAGGAATTTCCTCAGCAGTGAGTGGTGTTCTCTAGAAATCCAACTGGCCAGCTACCGACTCTTCGACGAGCACCGGGATGTTCTCCTGCTTGTGTTTCTGGAGCCGATCTCTGAGAGGCAGCTGTCCTCCTACCACCGCATGAGGAAGATCATGTTGAAAAAGACTTATCTACAATGGCCTGGCTCAAACTGCACTGACCCCACACAGGCCCAAGAGCTGTTTTGGAATCAGCTTCGTAAAGCGATTGGAACAGGAAGCAGAGTCGAAACGAAAGAAAATGAGGAGAGAAAAGGTGGTGTTAATCTTGAAAGTAAAGAAACGGAAGGTTTTGAGACTCACAATTCAGATGAAAATTATTATTTGCTACCCTAAACCATTGTTTAATCTGTGATTGTTAAGACAAACCTCTCAGTATAGTCCATCAAATAATTGATGATTTTCTGCCAAAAGGAGAAGGTAACGGAAACATGGTGTCAATGTGTAGTGCTCTGTAATGTGAGACACATACCATACTTTACTCAAGAATTGTTGATGTTACACAATTGTAACAATGTGTTTTCCTACATTTAACTGAAGCCCACATATACAACAAAAAAAACATCAAATCAGAACAGTCTTTGCTAAAAATCTCATTCTGTAAGTAATTTCCCATTATGGCACCTGTGTTATCAATCATGTGATTTATAGTTTTGAATATTAAAAAACTACAATGATGTAAACAATACATAATTGTGCTTTTTCCTATCTCACCATAAAAGGGACAAAAGAGTAATAATAGCTTACTGTTATATTTAGACATAGACATATTTTGCCATTACTTCTAATACTGTGTGTTAAATGTAGGCACACAACACATAGTATCTATGGTGGCTGTGAACAGAAAGTCTTGATTGTATGAATCAAGAGAATATTGTTTTTCAGATATCTAAACAAAATGTTCACAGGTATGTGTCACTGTAGAGCTTCACCATACATTAGTACAGTCTCATAGGCGGAAATGACCAGTGCTCGGGGCTCAGGAGAGAGGAATGGGAAGTTGCCGTGTCTCTTTCCAGCATGTGAGATGGGGGGTAATGAATCATGTCAGTGTGGTGGGACCTATGGGGTGCGTGAGTTGTAGGTAGACTAAATTGGCTGTAAGGCCGGAAGCTGTGGCTCTGCTCAGGATGGAGTACTTGGGATGTGAAGGATGGGGGGAGAGAGTATCTCTTTGTTTCAAATACGCCTTGCTCTTGAGGAAAGTAAATTGGCTCAGCTGAATTTTTTTCGAGTAGCTGTGATTGGTAGGATAAGAATTTGGGGGTATTGCTTTCGCTGTATTCTTGTCCATCTAGAGCCCTGGTTTGGTTCATAAAGCTGTTTTCAAAGGAGTGAAACTTTAAAGTCTCTTTGCTTTTTGGCCTGCTGAAACTGTCTCTCCAGTGGGGAGATACTGTTTTTTTTCCTTCCCAACATGAGGTAGGAGAGGGAGCATATAAATGATCTCTGATTCCAGAGGGCTTACAGTCAATGATAAACTCAGGTGAGCAAGGAGATCGGAGGATATCGTCCAGAAGACTGGCAGAAGTCTTCTCAGGCCTTCTGAACCACTCAGACATCTACATAAAAACAGATATTTCACATAATGCAGCGTTAATTTATCTGATCTTTACAAAAGGAAAGACAACAGCTGAGACACATGTGAAATAACTATGGCAGTGTGCTTTTGTCATCTTACCTGTTTCAGGTTTTGTGGTAATCGTGGACTTGACTTCAAGTTACAATGGGTACTTCCCTTTTCTTTGAAAGGTTTGGTTTTCAGGGTGTTGAATAAAGGCTTACTGGCTTGAAGCTCTATTGTGAATGCATCTGAAAATAAGGAAACATTAAATAAAACCTCAAACAGGAATTTGTACAGTGCTTACTACTGTTTTTTTATAAACAGGACTTTTACTCTGTGGGTTTACGTGAATCCATGCTGTTGTGGATTACTCATTGAACTCATGTGAAATCCAACTTTTAAACAGGATCATGATTTTTGAAGGTTTTAAAATATAGTCTTTTGCTTTTATTTCCATGAAGAAGTGTTCGTCCTTGTGGGAACTACTACTTATGTTTGAAATATACCACAGGTAATTGGGGCAGTTCTTCTGTGCAATGATTATATAGTAGTCCACTTCAGACTAATCAAGTGGACATGATTACTTCTGAAGTTACTGTATTTCTAGTTCAAATTATTTCTCTGCATCCACTGCAGGTAAACAGGGAATTCCAAAGAATCCCTAGCTTTACAAAAAACTTTGGTATACATTTTTGTACAAATGGTAAATATCTTAATTATAAGACCTTTTTAATTATATTAAGTACATTATTATAAAGATACAGCTACATTTACATGTCACCTCGACACAATAAAAGGTAAACAAAAAAACAAAAATTGAACAAATATGAATATATTGATATATCCAGAGCTGTCGGGTAATTTGGTGTCTACCTGTATTCTGGAGCTCATCTTCATCTATCATGGTCAGCTCTTGATCCTGGACTTCCTTGGTATGATCAGACCCAAAGCTGAGGCATCGCTGAAGTCTGAAGAGGTTCTCCTGAAGCTGAAGTCCATGCCTCTCCTGCAGAGCTTTCAGCAGCACTTCCCTGCTCTCTGCCACCAGGTTTCTTTTTTTCAAGAGTGGGAACTGCACACAGCCACACAAGCTTGCTGCCACTGCAGAGACAGACTCAGACACAAAGCAGGGATCTGATTGTCTTTGTTGTGAGTCCAAACTGTCCACAGTGTGCGAGCTGGAGAACTTAAGTGGGCTTCGGCTGGCACCAGCGAGTTGTTTTCCGTGGAAAACAAACTCCTGGTCTTTCGGGGTTTGCTCCAGAGTAGAAATCATGTGTGCCTTCACCTTCTTGTTTAATTTTGTCACATTTTCTCTGTAATCAGTGGGATTCAGCTGTGGCTCAATGCCTTTTTCTGTCATGACAGGGTTGGTCTTTGCCCTGGTGTAAAATTTGACCCCTGATTCATTTTATTTTCTTTCTCCTGAATATTATTATGTGCCTTTATAGCAAAATCTGCTTCCCTGTCTAGTGTCAGAACCTCATCAGGCTCAGCATCCAACATATCTTTATTGGAGAGTGGAGTAAGATTGGGAGATGTTGATGATGGGCGTGCAGTATAATTATTTTCATGTACTTGCTGTCCACTTTTCTCCATTTTCCTCTGCTTACTTAATAGGCGTTCAATGTTGATAGACTTCACCTCATGGTTGAACAGTCCATGATGTCCTATCAGGCGACTGTCTGTGATGATACTTGGCTCCTGTGCAACAGGAACAACATTTGGAAAAGCTGCATCTCGTCTAGAAGAACAATGACAGCTACTATGACAGCAGCGGTCATGGAAATATGTAATGTCTCTACTGCTTTGCAGACGACAGTGAAGGTGATGTGACTTAGACTTTGGGGCTTCTTTCCCACCACCTTTCATCTTGCACCTCTCCTTGCGGCTCTTCAAGCGCTTTATTCTGTGCTGCCCATCAGTCTTACTATTATGGTGTAAAGATTTGTATCCTGCAGTGGATCCATTCACCAAGCAACAGTTTTTATCAGTTGCTTTTGACTGCTTGTTGAAAAAATATAAGATCCTATCTTTGTCTGATAAAGAGCGGCCACACATGCGGCTCATGCTGCATCAATTCTGTAGAAAGAGAATTGCAGTCAGTCATTTGCTACAGGAAGCTACTTCCCCACAAAAATGCATGTCAAATGTGTTCCTCAGCAGTTCATTGTAATTTAAACATGATTAATTAATGCAAGCTAATGAAAAGTCTTGGATTTGAATAGTCAAGCATAAACAGACAATGGTACAGTAAAACACTCAACTTGTGTTATATTCAAATAAATCCCTAAACTGAAAATTCCAATATTAGACATGCTTTAATGTTTTACTTTTAGATGTTTAAAAACAAAGCTGTGTGAAATCCCTTTAACATGTGTAATTTATGAGCATTGTTTCCTTGTACTGTCTGTCAAAGGGCCTCTGCCTTATAAATATTAATAAAAATATCAACCTTATGCATGTATAACCCATGTGTGCAATGTAAGACCTTACTTCATCTTCATTAAAATGCATATTTTCCGTCATACAAAAAAAACTTATGGACAAAACCATATTTGGTCAATTTAGTTAGAGTCAAAAAAAACATCTGAATCCAACATAGCAGGACATTTTCTTCAAATTTCTGACTCAGGCCACTAGAGAATGTGACCCTTTGTACCTTTAAATTAAAAATACAGTTATGAACTCAAAACTTGGTCTTTCCCTCTCGCTTTAAATTCTAAAATTGAGAAACACTTTTAAAAAGAATGAGTAAGCAGAGAAAAAGCAGAAGCAAGGTCACTATGTTGAAATTGTCTGTAAGAAACTCTGACACCGTGCCTTTTTCAATTTCCCTCTGGATATATCTATCTATCTATCTGGATATTAAAAGTTTGAAAAATACTTGGTCTCTCTCTCTATTTAAAAAATTGCACGACACTTTTTATGTACTTTGTATGATGGTTGAGCCGAGGAAAAGCAGCAGAAGAGTTAACATTACATTATGTCTTTCACCACCTTTGCGTACATAGTCATGAAGAATACAAGTTTGAGACCAAGGCAACAGCGCCCTCTTCGGTTAAACAACTTGACAGAACTTTCTAGCTTTTAAGTCATCAAGCTCGCTGCTCAGCAACCAGGTGGTGATATAAAGACAACGAGCAGGTGCACATTGATGCACAGTGCACACGTGTTTTGAGCTACAGAAATCGTTCTTAGCGCCTAAGAAACATAGTAACTTTATTTCCCTTACTTTAAATACATGCCATACAAGATACGCTGCAGCTCTACCAAGAAACGTTTTATACAACTTAAAAAGTCCCTTTGCAGCGCCACTTACCGAAATTCAGCCCACAGTAGTTTTAACCCGTTTATAAATCTGTCGTTGCACAGCAACATGCGCAGCAGCCGTGCGCAGCAGCAACTCCCACGAACACCGCCGAGGTGGGCGAAACCATTATCCCTGACGAGGAGGTAAAATAGACTCATCTTTTAAATTCATACTATACGATAACAATACTTTTAGGATGGTAACTTTATGTGAAACGTTATGAAATTAAGCTGTGTCTTTTGTAGTCGTAATAGCGTGTATGATGAGATTGAAATAACTGAAAACGTAAATGTTGTAGCCCATAGACAACAATGGTACTTGCATCTTACGTTGGAATGAACATTTACTTCCTGAAACTCAATTCGGAGATGGCGATATTTTGATATTTTGGTTGCCTGTGTTTAGTCATTTCTATTAATCCAACCGTCATTTGATGCTCTGCCTTTGCCTTTTGCACAATACAGGCTCGCATTAACGATAACAATCTGTGCTACCTGTTAGGCTACATTACTTTAAGAACATCTACCTTGTGTTTAAGACAGTGGGCTAGCTACTGCGGCTAATTCTACCAGCCTAGATTTAGCTAGCAATTAGAGCTTTAGGGTTGTGATTAATCGGCTCGTTTCCGTTCAAATAACAAACAATCTTTACAACTTGACTGCTTTGCGAACCCAGTTAAAGCCAAAGTCATGAGTGCAGACGACCCTAACCCCGCCGCCACACCCACTCCTTGTGAAGACACTCAGGGAGATGGACGATGGATGTCTTTGGTGTGTAAAATAACAATAACATATAAAACAAATAGTCATAG